TCACACCCTTTCCCCTCCAAAGGCTTACCTGCAGGGCGCTGCTCTACATGCTGCCAGGCTGCACTCCTGGCCATGTGCGGCTGTACACATGCACATGGCATCCAGGGGCCCCAGGCAGAAGGCATATTGTATTTATTGGTACATTATCAGCTATTCCAGCCAAAAAAAGCTGATAGCCAATAATGTTAATTTTCCTTTTATCGGTGCCTGTCCAATATGACACTAATATATTAGTGCATCTCTAGTGTTAAAATCACATTTCTTCAGATTAGCCTTTAAGGTGTCCTTCAATCTCTTCTTTTGCTCACCTCCGGAGTGATGACCGTTGTTGAGCTGGGAGTATAGGACCGGTTTTGGGAGCTGGTTGTCAGGCATCATTACAGCATGTCCTGTCCTACGGAGCTGGTGCAATATAAAAATGGCTCCAGTGATGGTGGTGTTTCCATAACGTTCTCATTGAGCCAGTTTTGACGTTTCTTTGTGGAAAGCTTCAGGATTCCTCACGTACTTTGTGGATGCCTTTCTTTCTCACTGAGACATTGCGTGATATGATCAATTTAGCAGGGTCTTTCAAGCCCTTGACACTAAACCTTGTCCATGATGGCTTCTTTTATTTACAGCATTTTGGGACTATGGAAGAATTCCATTTGAGTTGACTCTCTCCACCCCTTCCTTTCCTTAGCTCAGAGTATCTGCCCATGCTAGCATTAAAATTGCTAAGAAGAATGATTTTCTCTTTTTTGGGGGGACAGATGACCGGACTTGTTTGAGTTTAGAATAGAATTCTTTTGTTTCCTCATCAGCGTCAGGAGTTGGGGCTGTGCATTGCTGATTGTTGCATGTTATCTGTCAGTCAGTTGGAAATGAAAAGTTATGAAACGCTTATTGATGTTGACTGGACCTTTTGGAGTCTGAGTAACCATCTTGGTCTTGATAACATAACCCAACATTGAGGATGTGCCTGTCTTTCCAAAAGAAAAAGGTATGCCTACTACCATGCTCTGTGAGCTGACCCTCTCCTGTGTGCCTGGTGTTACTAAGTGCACCGTCAGTATCAAACCCTGCTTGCAGATCTTTTAAAAAACCCCAAAAGCACAAACCAAAAAAATTGTGCTTTCCTGGAAGCAGCAGCACGGTACTTCAGCTGGGCTCTGTAGTGTCTGTAAAGATTGGGCACTTCAGCAGGGTTTTTTGCCAATTTTAGGTAAAGCTGATTCAATCAGTTATTAGATAAAAGTGCCTAAAAAGCACCACTAAGGCTGGGCTGAAGTAATGCACTGCCTGTTTTGGGCATGTGCGGGGCTTGTTGCGGGAACATACCGAGTTTAAATTAAAGTGCTGAATTTTGGTTTTGGTTTATTTTTGTTTGTTTTTTAATGTCTGTAAGCACCCAAATTGTTTAATTTCTTTAGCCACGAGTGATTTTGCTTTGCTTTGTTTGGGTGTGGATGTTCCAAGTTGCAAACTTTTGTTACAAGATTTGGACTACAGATAGGGTGATCCCACTGGACATGGTTTTCTAGTCGCATGAAATAAGACTGGCTATGTTTAGGGCACTTTTTCTAGCCCCCGTGTCATGTATGGTCAGCAGAGTGGATCCTAAAAAGGGCTGCTCAGTCATGATGATTGAGCAGGCCTATTGGGCATTGTCTGTTGCATCAAAATAAATTGTAGCCCTGGAATTTAATATGTTCAAAGGCACAAATAGGTGTATGGACAACTTTAGTTTTCATCTCTTTAAATGGGGAAGGGAGTTGCCACTCAGGTGGCTGTTGCCTTTACCTGCTCTTATAGCAGTAGCAATAAGCTGTAGCTGTAGCTTGCAGATCTAACAGTTATCCTGTAACAGCTTCCATTTGTATTATGTGATGCTGATACAACTGTGGATGTATACTCTGTCTGTGTATGCCCTAATGATTGTAAGATTGTTCCTGTTTAAGTTTTGTGCAGGTCATAGCCCAAAATGACTCTGTATTTTTACAAGTACAATATTTCTATATGGTTGGAAATATTCCAAAAGCCTGTTGTTATAATTCCTTTTGAAAAGAAAAGCCTACTGTTTCTAAAGCATGTGACAGTAAATGTAAGTTTAAAAAAAATAATTTAAATGCTTATATAAACAAACCGCTATTTATAAGTGAGAGATTTTTAAAACAAGGCTAAGGGTATTTAACTTTTTCTTTGCTGTAATGTAAACTGTTTTATAGTTGACGTTTCATGTGTTTACTGCAGAAGAAAATGTTAATAAAATAAGTTGGGGGGGACAGAGTATTTTTCAGAACTTGTACGTTTATAGAAATCCTAGAATAACAAAATGCTGTAATTTTATAGAGAGCGCTATTATAAAACATTAGAACTCTTGTCCTGTAATTTTGTCTGTATGTTTGCTATCTCACTTGATTTATATTTTAAAACAAATTCAGGGGCCATCCTCAGAAAATCTTGTATGTGTACATATTTATTACTGTGCAATTCCTACTAATGTAGTCTGGAGCTATGAGATTATATTTAGAGTAAGGGTATTATTTTAAAAGTGGCTGCTGGCCCTTAACAACATAAAACCCACTGAAAGTCAGTTTGTCAAATCATACCTACCTTATGTCTACCATCATGTCATCTGGTGATGGGAAGCTCAGGTGGCAGCCAGTACCCGTGGGCTTTTGGTGGCTCTGTGTGGCTTTAAATTAGCATCTGCACTACCAAAGTATGAACTGCACCGTGGGATAGCACTAGCTTCTGAGCATCTTTGTGTCTTTCAGTTGGCCTCTGAGCAGGAGAAGCTGCCTTACTTGCTTTCAGCAAAGCTAGTGTAATTTTGCCAGCAGAATGAAGGGCTCTGTTGCCATAGGGGGGCTTGTACTCTTGCCTGCAGAATTTCTGCCAAAACTTTAGGCAGTAATGTAGCCTAGTCCTTAGGCTTCCAAGTCACTTAAGGCATGTTTATACTGCCTCTGTGTTGGACCCAAGTCCACTGCTAAAGTAGCACACTTCACCTACTCATTCCTAGTCCAGTTGCATAAATGTATTTAACAAACCTGGGAGAATTCTTGCAGATCATTTTTCTTGGTAGAAGAACTTGCCTGGAGACTCCTGAACAGATGTTTAAATGCTGAGTTCCTGAAGGGCAAAGAGCTTGTAGTGTTGATGCTGAGCACCTAGAACCCTTGGTGCACCCTTATTCTGTTCTGCATGCTCCCTTAGTCTGCCTGGAGGCGATGGCAGCAGTCCACAGGATAGCTTTGATTGGCTGACCAGACTGCTAAGCATCAGTTTGTGTCCCTTACAGTACAGTGTGTGATTGTGAACTGGGTGCGTTCTGCTTCTTGCTTGACTGGAGTTGTAGAGTCTGGCCTAAGCAACACTGTCTGCCTGGGGTAAGTGGAAGGGAGGGAGCAAAGCAGCCCAAATGCTCGATGACTGTGCTTTGTTATTGAATCCAAGCGTTCATTTAAAGAAAAAAAATAGTAGTCCTCATGGCCTTGTGGTTGTGAAACTAAGCATAAAAATGTGAATGAGTCTAGTGAGCATTCTTCCCTCTGGTTTGCAAAAATGTGAACCAACTAATAGCTTTTGGCAGTTTGAACTGCCTGTTTGCATCAGAGGAGCATTCCCTTTTAAACTGTTTTATTGGTTGATCATTTAATCTGAAACACCAATGTAATTTCTAAAGGTACAGTGATACATGAGTCTGATATCGGATTGGTACCGATATAAACAAAACTGGCTGTATCAGAAATCAGCCTGAAGTGACCGATTTAATCTGGTTGATTTAAATGCCTGTGCATGCATGCAGCCTCAGCACAGCACACAGGCAGTGAGGAGCAGAGCCCAGCAGCTTGCAGTTGGTAAGTCTGTTGTGGTGGAAGGGGGAGAGGGAAGGGAAGGGACATGTGGGTTGGGAGGGGGGAAAATCAATGCCTCCCGCAGCGAGGGAGGGAGGGTGCAGAGTCAGGGACTGCTCAGCTGGGGTGGTGCGGGTGCTGGATGGAACCGTGGCTCAATTTGGGGGGGGGTGTTCTCCTGTTGCTGCATGCACCTTCGGGAGGGAATGGGGGGGGAGCGTGTGCCTCAGATCTGCATGGGGTTGGGGTGGGGTGGGGTAGGCGGGCTGCAGCGGAGGGGAGG